AGAATAATTTTAATTGTACTTAAAAATGTAATCCAACTCATGCATTTAACACTGAAGCATCTTAGGGCTCCCTAAAAAGCAATTTGAAAACCTTTGTATAATTGTTTGCTATCATAAATTCATTGCTTGATCTCTGCCTAGTTCACTTAAGATAAAGTAAGTAAAAAACCGGTTTTGACAATCAAAAAAATACATATAAGAAACCTAATTAAGAGTATAGCTATGGAGGAGGCACGTGGGTGGCTCAGTCGTTAAGCGTCTGCCTTCGGCTCGGGTCATGATCCTGGGGTCCTGGGATCGAGCCCCATATCGGGCTCCCTGCTTGGCGGGAAGCCTGCTTCTCCCTCTCCCACTCCCCCTGCTTGTGTTCCCTTTCTTGCTGTCTCTCTGTCAAATAAATAAAATCTTTAAAAAAAAAAAAAAAGAGTATAGCTATGGAAATCAGTCAACGCAATTACATCCTATTGGTTGAACCTTATAAAAATGCTATTAATTGACAACTTTAATTATAAAAGTGAGGCTCATATGGTTCGATTTAATATTTCCTATTTTATTTTTGCAGTCTTTTCACTTAAAAACGCACCAAAAAGTTGCCAAAATAAGTGATTATATAAACAAAGTGGAAAGATAAAATACCAACAAAGATCTATCACTACTAGAACTACCTAAACACATTAAGAATTTTGAAATGTTAAATGTTCTGACTTACAGTGCAGTTTTATTCACTTCAGTAGGACTGGCTGCTCCATACTCAAAGAATATTGCAATATGCCCCTTTTCATTCATTAGAAGATAAGTGGACTAATAGTTACCTACCTTTCTTAATGCAATTTGGTACTCCACTTTGAAATTTATCTAGTTGTCACGGGAATTTCTTCAAGTAACATGCATTTTACTTCAAAACTCATTAACTTTTCCAAAGTAAGTGGAAGCATTTCCTCTTTTATTAAAAACTTTATTGATTTATTTCATTGATAACAGAACAAGTTAGGAGTTATAGATGTGAAGATAGTTTTTGTTTGTTCATTCATTTGTTTCCCTGTATGGGAAATATATTCTTTTTACTAACCTAGGATACCAAATTAGGTATATTCAATATTTTAAGAAGTCCTTCTATTTTAAAAGACACTGAATCAAAATTGTAAAGGCACGTCTAATAATGAATGTGACTCTCATACAATACATAACTCAATTTTCAGACATTGGGTTAAACCAAGTTATTTCATTTGAAGGTTAATCCAGTTCCTTTTGAAGATCCCCCCCGCCCCAAATTTAACACATTGCAACAAATTAAGCTACTTAAAGAAAAAGCCTTCATGCCACATAAAAGGTGACTCTTTCCCCATCATTAATGAGGACTGTAACAGCAAAGAGTAATTCACACTGGGTGTGCATGAGTTTCATTCTTCATTATGAACTGAACTAAAATTCAAAATGCTATGACTCACTTGGTTATTACTGAACACTTTATTAAGTGGAAAACACAAGATAAATTCAAAGAATCACATTTTCAGAGTTACAGATGAATTTTAAAGTTATATACTTTCTATCAAAAAGAAAATCATCTTTATTAGAAATACACTCTTACATGCTATTTTTAGAATGATGAAGAATTTAAAATGCTAAACACTTGATATCTTTTAAAAGCACTTAAGAATAGCACTCTTTAAAGGCTACAAATGTTGCCAAGTCATGTCATAACTGGCTCAAACAAGCCCATTTCCATCTAAAGTTATTTCATGCTGCTGCATGAATCAATATTAAATACCTTGGAGTTACTAAAAACTGGAATATTGGCAGAGGTACATAGCAATTACAAAATATGAAAATGGTGAATTTCCATTTTCCACATACCTCTTTCTTTTAAGAATGACTAGAAAAGATGTTCTTTCTAGGTAAATAGAAATAGTTTCTTAAAAGCTAAGAGAAAGATATAAAGAATGCCAGCAAACAGTGATGGATCCATAGCCATGGTTCTCTTAAAAGAAAAACTAGATTTTGAAGCCTAGTATCACCTCCAAACATCTTATTAGCCTACCAAATTGCCAGAGCCATTAAAAAAAAAAAAAAGTCAAAGTCAATATAGTTCTTTTGTTCCTTATTCAATTAAAACAACAACAACAACAAACAACTAACTAGCTGTTATTTTAACCAGGCTTGAGTTTAATCAAATGTGTCTCAAGCAACAATTTTTTCATGTTAAAGACATAACTTACCACTTTTGAAGTCAGGAAATAATAATACTAATTTTTTTTAAAAGCTAGGTTTGGATGACATCTGACCCTGAAGTGAAAGAGTTAACATTCAACTAAGCTGATCTGCACTTCTGATCCATTACATTTCTCACAAGCTGCCCTACAATGAGCTGAGCAAGTATCAACTGTAATTTGATCCCAGAGTTTATGGAAAAAAATAACTGCACATACTCAACATGCACATTTAATAAAAATCTGTTTCAAGAGAAACAGATCCACTAAACACAATTTAAGGCACATTTAACTGTTCGATTAACTTCAAATCTGCAATCCCTTTGCTTTCTTCATGCTCTCAAATAAAATAGTGGGGGGGAAAAAGCAGCAGCCCTACTGCAGGGAAAAGAGGCTTGAAAAACAACTTTGATTGGCACTTGGCCTGACCCACAGAGGAAGAAAAACAGTTTTTGGACAAAGAGCGCAAATATTTGAGCTTGCTGACTTACATGCTTTCTTTCTATTTTTAATATATAAATAACAATCCCAATTGCACTGTATTTAGAGAAATTGACTAAAAACGGTGCCGCATTCATCTTAAGTCTTCCAGTCCCGATGCATTTGCACAGCTCAGCAATTTTAATTCATTTGTACTGGACAAACAGAAGCACCTCAACTACTGTTTCCACTTAATGAAATGTAAAAATGCAGTCTGAAGAAAAAGAAACTGATTATAATATTACCTAGTGGAGGCTGTTGAAGTCTGATTAAAAGCTTTTCTCGGTCTAAAGCGACATCTTTTCATTCCCCTCCCCCACCCCTTAACGGAGTGATTAAGCCAAGTAAGCTAAACAATTCTGGAGTAAACTTTCTATCAGTCACTCGGGGAAGCAATAAGCTGATTGTACGTCTGATTTTTCTGGACCTGCACGGGGCGGGGGGGTGCTGAGGGGTGATAACCCACGTCCACCTCCGTCTCCTCCTCCCCCAGCCCCAGAGGAACTGTAAGGTCGAATAGCATTTCCCATGGGCATAAAGTTCAAGCTGCTTTCCCAGTTCCTTTCAAGACTGAACTATAGACACGACTGCCGTCAAAAGAATGTAAAAAGGAGTGTTAAGGGAGAACGCGCAAAGAAGGCAGAAGCGACCGAATAAACAAAAACAACCCCCGCCAAGAGTTAGCCACACAGCAAAGAGGGAGCCAGGTTCCTGAAGACCAGTCCAGGCTGTTCAGATTTCGCACCGACCTCCATCCACAGGACCGGGAGGAGGATCGAGCCGGTCGCTCCCTCCTTCCGCCCGCGGAGCAGGCCGGAGGTGGTGAGGCAGGGAGGTGAGCCGAAAAATAGACTACTGGCAGCAAAAAGAAAATCGGAAAAAAAAAAAAATCCCCAACCCCTCGGGACTAGCATCTGTCCCGGCGGAGATAAAAAGCAGCAGTGCAAACCTCCACCCTCAACCCACGCCCCCTTCCTTCGGTCTCGGCGTGGGGAAGGTGCCCCGGAATCCCTTTGAGCCTCGCCCCAACAGTGCGCCCCGGGGCCGAGCAGCCCGAGCCCCGCCGGCAGGAAGCGCCCCTCTCGGGCTGGACCCCAGGCCGAGCCCGTACCTTCCGCAGCACTTTCCGGCAGTTGGTACAGAGCAGGTAGTTGGCGGCGGCCGACGGGCTGCTGCCGCCCCGGTTCATCTTGGCTGCGGGCGCCGAGGGCGAAGACGGACGGCGGGGCCCGGGCCGGGTATCACTGCGGCCGCCCGCGCCGCTGCGGGGCCGGACCGTCCCCCTGCCGCCGGCCGCGCTTCAGCCTCAGCCTCCCCCGGGCGGGATGTCGGGATGGGAGGCGATGGCCCGGAGAGCGAGCGGCGCTGCCCCAGGCGACCACCGCGGCGGCTGCCGAAGCGCCGGCGGAGACGGCGGCGGCTGCTCCTCACCGGCCCGTTGTTCCTCCCGCCCCCATCCTCCAGACCCCCGCCCCCGCCAGGCTAGGACGAGCAGCCGCCACCGCTACCGCCGCCTCCGCCGCCGCCGCAGCGCCTCAGTGCGGCCCCGCCCCCGCCTCCCCACCACCTTCACCACCTCCACGCTCCGGTACCGCCCCCTCCCGCCGTTCGGACAGCCCCGGCCACGCCCCTGGGCCGCTAGCCCGCAGCCAATGAGCAGCCAGAGCCCGGTTGGGAGCTGCACAGGCCAATCACAGAGGCCGAGGACGCCTTGAATCTCCGGGCAAGTTAAGTTTATCTCCGAGGCTCGGAACTGGAGAGAGATGGCGGGTTAGTTAGGTAGTGTGGGGTGGAAGGGAATACAGTTTGTGCTGCTCCGCCAATAGGAGGAAGAGGGTGTGTCGTATGCAAATTATCCCTGGAAGCCCAGCCCCTCCCCGAAGACAAGCCACGCCCCCCTTCTCTAGGTCCCTGCAAAAATGGTACGGAGAGTGAGATAAAAAAACTGGGAGCTAGAGCCTCGCTAGAGGGTCTAAAACTGAGCTAAATATTTCCTGGTTTCTTGAGAAAGGTTGGGGACGGGAGAGGGGCGGTAGCTAAAACGTTCACACTCTCAGGGCAGTGATTAGGCTTTCTCTCAGCCAGAATCTTAGCTTAGCTGTAAAGAAGACTGCAGTCACGTAGTACTTGGCAACCAGGGATCTCAAAGAACTTTATGCATCTTTTATCCTGAGCCTTGTTTTGCAAAAGACCAATTACCTGAGGCTTGGGCGGGGGGTAGGGAGTAGACGTTTGAGATATATTTACACCCTTAATCGAGTTGGCGGGGAGTGGGGGGGGGACACAAAACCTCTGGTTTAGCGGTTTCCTCCTCCATCTGAAGCACCTTCTCGCAGTCCTTTCCGCAATGAAAGTTCCTTTATTTATCCAGCACGAAAGGGCCAAAGAGACAGGTTTATCCTCTCACCCAACGATCCTTTTCTGAGACAGTTCATCAGAAACATGGAGAACACAGAGCCTTGCTCGGGAAGGAAGGTTCAGAGAACAAATCGTCTGTAAACTATTGGGCAGGACTTGCCTCTTCCAAAGCTAAAAATGGTGAGTCAGGATTTTGGCGTCCACGCTCTAGCGAGAGAGGGCACATGTAACTGGGGAAAGCTCTGGCTGGCAGAGTGTGGGGGGACAGGCGAAAGGGGGAGCCAGGTCTCTCGAGGAGGCCAGCAACGCGCGTGCGGGTCCAATGCGGGTTCCCGACGCTAGACGCCCGGAAACCTGGTCCCCAGTGAGAACAAAGGCAGGCGCCGAGCGAGAACCTGATTGGTGCCGGGTCCCCACCGGTGTCCTCCTGGCCCCGGAGACAACTTGCTTCGCCCACTGGCGCGGAGCTCCGTGCTCACTGGAGCCCCAGCTCCCCACCCGGCCTTGGCTGTGACCACACAGGACTGTGCGTTATGACATCACCTGTTTTCGCTCTTTAGAACACGATCTGTATTCTCAGCTTCTCCTTTTTTTAAAGGTCTCTAGTGGACCGGGATTTGTGCAGGCCTGCAGTTCGCAGAATGAGTCTGGAGATGATGTAAAAGAACGGTTTCGCTGGTTTGCATTTCTTTCTTTTCTTTTTAATTAAAACACACACGCACACACACACACACAAACAAACAAACAAAAAAACCCTGGTTTCCTTAGGGATTCAGTGTGGTGTTGTAACGCAAAATCAGAAAGGTACACTTGGAGGTGCTAGCAAGTTTAGCATATCAAAGCTGTTAGACCAAATTGTGTGGTTAAAACTGTCAATCTCATTTTTCAACAGCTGCCTCCTCTGTCCCTTTCAGAGACCAACACATATACACCAAGTCTACACAAGGAACAAAGGAAGTGGAAATCTGCCGGTGTCAGGTTTAAATAGATTAAAATTGACTGGAAAACCCCTGAAGGGTCTGAGTTATGTGGTTGGGTAAACGTGTTAATCCATTTAACTAGTGATAGCTAAAGGTCACTTGATGTAGTTGTAGACATATATAACCTAGAATAGCAGTGGTGTGGGGAAGGTGCTTAACAATCAGTTAGAAACTGTAAAAGCAAGAAAATTAGGTAAGGAGAGAAATCACCACCTGCTCTTCGATGCAGAGAACCAAGAAATCCAGGGAGAAAGTTAGCAAGGCACAATTTTCCTAAGAACTGAAACACATATGTGTCCCCATTTAGTGGTATATTTCTTGGTCTATATTCCTGGCTGGTTCTCTCTTGTAAAGCAGATTTTATGTGAATACATTTTAAAGGATAGGAGATATTGAAGGATGAAGTGAATTTTTGTGCAGAGATTGAACGTTCTCAAATAGTATTTTAGATTCAAATTGTTTTCTATCATATTCTTTGTATAACCTTTCCTCTTACTTAGTAGTTAAAATCCTTTCACAATGACGTTCTTTAAGCTCTTCAGTGAACTCAATTCCCTAGAAGGGATGGCCAAGAGAGTGTAATCTACACCATTACCCACTCTTACAAAGATTGCGAAAGGGAGGTTTTAGAGGAACAGTTTCATTGATTCACTGATACATGTACGTGACCAAAGGATGGATCTCTCCACCAAACTCCTCCAGACTTTTGTAACATTAATTATCCAGAGGGCCATTTATTTGACATTTAACAGTGTGCTGCATTGTGACATCTCTTATATTGAACACTTATATATGTGTCTATGTTCACCCCTAAAATCTTCAGTCCAGTAACTCATTCTCAGCACACAACCTCCACCCTCTCTTCAGGTCCTCACAACCCCCACTCCCATCATCCTTCTTCTCTGTGCTCATGTCAGTGTTCAACTTCTGGATTCTTCCTTTCTCTTCCATTCCTTACCTAGTCTCCCTTCCTTTTCTAACCGGCCTGGATGTCATAAAGAGAATGTGACTTAAGAGAGTGACTTGTGAATCCTGGCTCACACTCTTAGGAGGGAAGAAAACAAAAGGCAGTTCTTTTGGTTTCACACAGGACAAGGAGAAACTCCTTCCCTTTTGTTGTCGGGTATGTATAAAATAAGAAAGACTTTCAGAAAAGTAAGATATGGGTGAAAATACCACCAACATTGAGAAGTACTTTTTAACTTTCTTATTACAAAATTAGGATGATACTTTATTAACTGTTTGACATTGTTTTCAGAAATAATTTTTGCTTGTTTTAAAATATTCTCTTAAAATGTGATTTTTTTTTTTTTTTTTTGTCCCACATAATGGCTAAAATCATATGGCTTGGATGTTCCCTAACTTCTTTAGCCATTACCCCATTACTGAACATGGAGGCTGTTTCCAGTTCTTTATGGTTATAAATAATGCTATGATAAGCTTCCTCATACATAAATTTCTGGCAGCCCCTCTGATTCCTAGATATGGAATTTCAAACTGAAAGGATGTGAATGTTTTAAGGCTCTTGTTACAATTTGCTAAAATATTTTGTGGAAAGGTTTAACCAATTTGCACTCATCCCACGGTGAATGAGAACACAGGGGAGAGAATCATTTGGAAAGCCCACATCTGAACTGTCATTCTCCTGCTTCAGGCCCATAAACAGTCCACTTACCTCCACTTCTAATGCTTTCCTCGCCTTCCGCCTGGTGATTGTCATCTCCTGTTGAAAGATCTCCTGGTGGAGTCAAGCACTTGTCCAAGTGTCTGTGGTGTCACCCTCTTATCTCTTCTTTAGCACGATCTCAGTATTGAAATGATTGGCTTCAATTCTGTTTTCTCATTAGATTGTGAACACCTTGAGGGTGGGGATGAAGTTACATTTACTTTGTATTCTCTCTCTTTTTTTAAAAAAGATTTTATTTATTTATTTGAGGGTGGGGGGAGCAGCAGAGCAGGGAACCAGCCGGGGCTGATCCCAGGACCCCAGGATCATGACCTGAGCTGAAGACAGACACTTAACCGACTGAGCCACCCAGGCACCCCTACTTTGTATTCTCAATTCCTAGCTCAACAGGAAGATGAGTGTGCTTTAAAAATCTTGGGAAAAAAATAATGAGTTTTCACTCCTTACTTGCCAAAATACACCATACATTCTTTCAGGGTGTCTTTTGAATCTTGAATAACAGTGATAGCATCTTATAAAAGGGCCCCAATAAATATTTGTGAATTGAGCAGTTCACAAAACCATTGCTTTGGAGCAGATTGGCTCGATTCATGTCCTTATCTGTCACTGATTCCTTCTCTGACATTGAACATAATGATTATTATGCCTGGGCCTTGCTATTATTGCCTTTATAAAATGGAAGTTCTTGCCAGAAACTAAGGGCGTAGGGAAGGCTGGGGGCAACGTTTACTGTTCAGTAATTTTGAAAGAAGTTACCCTGTTAATAACGTGCTGTGACTTTTGGACTTGAAATTGTTTACTTCTTTAGATATTCTCCTACTGACCTAAGAACTGGGCCCCTTTATAGCTCCTAAATAAGGATTCAGTTGAAAAAAATTAATTACTAAAGATATTTTTTAAATTCCATTTCTTGAGACAATAGGTCATTTTCTAACATTTTGCCTTCTCAGACTTCTTTTTCCTTCTCCCCGGGGGCACCCAAAGCATTTGGATAGTAGAAAGTGCTGCATTATTTACAAATTTGCAAATACTGTAATTTGTTTCATGCACAAAGGAATTTGCACTTCACACAATTGTAAATTGATTGCTCCCTTTGAGCTGTTAATTAGATTCCTGCTATTTTTTTTTTTTCCCAAGGCCCAAGACCAATACCACTCCGAAGGAGAAATTAAGAGGATTTGATCCAAAAGGGCTATGGTTTTAGTGCCCATTTCCATCCCACACCCTGAATCACCCACCCCCACCAAGAAAATTCTTACCAAAGCTCATTTTTCAAAGAACAAATATTCCACAAAGATCCAAATTTCTGTAGGTTGTTTCTTGTAATTTCCCATTTCAGAGTTCCCTGCATTTAACTCCATACAAAGCAGACTTCCAGGGAGAGGCCTACAGATGTGGGGTTTGTTTTTGTTTGTTTGGCCTGCACAATGTGAGTCAGCACAGTGCTCTTAAAAAAAAAAAAAAAAATGGAATTACTTTAAAATTCTTACAAGTTAGGAGATTTTACACCCCAAATCTAGATTTCCAGTTTCTCTTGAAAAATTGTCAGATCTGGTCACACCAAGCTCCTATTGCCACATGGCAACCTTTTGCTGGAGCCCAGTATCTGCTATTGGGTTTGGATGAGTACTCTCTACCCAGGTCTCTGTCACTCCCTGGCGGTTACATTTTGCCATTATATTTATGTTATCTTCTTGCCATTTGTAGGGATTTGCCACCTCTATAAACTTTCTTCAGCTTCTCAATCACTGATCTGCTGATTGCCATTCTTAACTTTATCACAGAATATGAATGAAAAATAAATTTGCCATCTCTAAGGGACAGCAAAAGTTGAGGACAGGGATCAGATGCAAGGAATATCATGATATATAGGTACATGCCCTCACACATCCACCCACCCACCCACCCACCCCCCCCCACACACACACCCTCATCTCCACCAAGAAAATTCTTACCAAAGCTCATTTTCCAAAGAAGAAATATTCCACTAAGATTCAAATGTGTGTGTGTGTACAATGGGATTATATGTATATATGTGTGTATATATATGTGTGTGTGTGCGTGTGTGCATCCCACAAGGTGGAGGATGGATATCTAAGGGGGTTACCATGTCCTTTATGCTGCTAACCCCGGTCTTTTTTTTTTTTTTTTTTTAAGATTTTATTTATTTATTTGACAGAGAGAGAGAGAGTTCACAAGCAGGGGGAGAGGCAGAGGAAGAGGGAGAAGCAGGCTTCCTGCCGAACAGGAAGCCCAATGCGGGGCTCGACTCCAGGACCCTGGGATCATGACCTGAGCTGAAAGCAGATGCTTAACAACTGAGCCACCCAGGCACCCCTAACCCCAGTCTTTAATCTAATTCTGCCCACATACCCATTCTAATTGTAACTTCAGGAGAATGGGAGCTCAGGGAGTGTGGCAATAGTAGAAGGACACTGAGGGTGTTTTCTTTGATGGGCATGATCATGGAGAGACTAAAAGCCCTGGCCCTAGAGTCAGGCTTGGATTTGAGT